GTGCCTTAGTTTAGGGTTTAGAGTTTCGGGTTTAGGATTGGGTTTGGGTCTGAATACGTAGAAATAACCCCAAAACCTTATGCCTTAAGGCCCCTCCACTAGGCCCGAAGCCTCAGTTGGACAATTTTTAGGTAGGGTATCAGCTAGGTCTCAGACCCACGTATGACGGCTTGGGGGGGAGGGGTGCGTACCACACTAGACATAAGGTCTTCTGGGCAAAAAATGTTGCGGCCTGAATAACTCAGAGTCGGGTTTGGAACTGAAAGCCCTGTCCAAAGCTCACTTGTCTAGCCTATTATACGGGAGCCATATGTCTCCATTGTTTGTCGTTATACCATCTTGGGCGGGTTAACATAGGGCCTCAATATCTCGAGTAGGGTGTTGGGGTGTATTCTAAGAACTGTAAGCTCGACTGCAAAGAGAATTCGTTTCAGCAATTTCAGCTTGTCAACACTGCACACGGGGCCATCCAAAATACCTGTCAGCAGTTCGTTCTGTACACGAACCATGGCTCATCGAGCCCACGGTGGAAAACTGTTCTGCGGACCCACCCCTGAAAGGCTTGAGGGTTTAGCGATTTGGGGTTTAAGTTTGGGGTGCTGGCAAGTCAGCAAACCCTCAACCGAGTCTGGCTTGACTGCCGGACAGTGCGAAAGCGCGAACTACCTCCCACCACTGAAGCCGAAACCCCGCATCAAAGTCCGCCTGTGAAGACTTGCGCCGCATCCGGTGCAAAGGACGCAGTGAGCACCCTGGCAGCCCGGATTCTCAGATCAATGTGTTTGGGGCACCTTGGGTTTTCTGGTGTACTTAAAGCACCATGGGACTTAGTAAGTAGGGTTATAACTACGGTAACTATACTTATAACCCCAATTAGGGGACTTATAACCTTACTTACTAAGTCCCATGATCCTCCAAGTAGGGTCTTGGAGCCAAGGATTCGGGTCACGCTTGCTGCTTGGGGCTTAGGTCGCCATGGTGTGTGGCCGGTCTAGACCCCAAAATGTAGTACCTTTTTTGGATGATCTATGGTATGGTTAGGACCCTATGATAAGAAACTAAGGTAACCCCCAAAAAAGTACTACATTTAAGGGTCTAGGGAATCTCTGCTCGAAATCTTCATGGGCCTAATCTTACAGCCTGGAACCTAGGATCTGAAACTTGTAACCCCGCCTGAAACATAAAACCGTCTGTACTAATATTATGCTACGTGAAATCCCAATCCCACCATCAGCACTGCGATCACCTTTCCTAGGCCTACACCTACACCTGAAACCAAAAACCTCAGACCCACCCTCTAGGTCATAGCAAGTATGTTAGGGCCACTTCGACTCAAACCGAAACCTGAACCCTAAGCCTTGAATCCTAGTCCTAAATCCTCAATCTTGAATCCTAAACCCTAAACCCTAAACCTTAAATCCGGAACCCTAAACCTTAAAGCCTGAACCCTAAACCTTAAATCCTGAACCCTAAACCCTAAACCTTAAATCCGGAACCCTAAACCTTCAAGCCTGAACCCTAAACCCTAAACCCTAAACCCTAAACCCAAAGCCCCTAAGCCCCTGAACCCTAAACCCCTAAACCCCTAAGCCCCTAAACCCCTAAACGCCTAAACCCCTAAACCCCTAGACACTAAAACCCCAAACCCCTAAACCCC